GCTATTGTAACCTTGAGCAAAGTACTAACACTGATTGCTTCATCAAAATGTCCGGCTGTATAAATGGATCCAAATGTAAGTCACTTGGGATCGAAGCCTCGGCCAAAGAAGTTAGAGATAAAAATAAAAATGTGCCATAGTAAACAAAATAAAACTGTAAATAAAGAATTATTAATATCAATCTGTTTTCTCTTAGGAGCTGTAAGCCAGGCTCCAATGATATGCCAGGTGAGTCATTTATTTTATTAAGAAAACATTCAACCAACATTTCTGTGCAGTTTCCATGTTTATTTTTCATTTCAGGCTTTTCAGTGTGGCTGTATTTGGTTCTTATTTTTCTGCAAGTTCAGTGCATTTCACTGGTATAGTACTCTAAAGGAAACATAAACAGCTTGCTGCTCTTAAGTTGTTGTGTACACAATTAGTTTATTTTTTTTCTATCTTTTTTAAGTATTTTTGCTGGAAAGCATATAACCTATGTGTGGGAACAAGTAATAGGTTTATTCCATGCTGAAAAAAAGAAGAAAGAGAACGTTTTGGCCGTGGAGCCTTCTTCAGGTGTGCCTATGTGGCACACCTATGTGCCTTCTTCAGGTTAACCTATGTATGCACCTCTTATACCTTTATGTATACCTTGAACTATTTCACTAGTCGTGTTTAAAGTTATCTGTTAGACTCTTTGAAAGATTTGTTAGTCAGACTTATTCTTGGTTAGTCTTCCATCCCACATCGTCCACCTAGTCCATCTTATCCTTTACTCTGCTGTTCACTGGGTCTTTTCTTTATGTTTCTCATGCTACACCATTACTTCAGTCTCTCCTGTGGTTCCCTGTTTTAGCATTCATTCAATCCATAGTTCTTGCCTATCTCTGTCTCTACCAGTCTGTTTCCATCTGTCCCCAGTCACTTATAAAGTTACTTATTTCTCCCTATATCCCTTCCTGCTCTCTGCTCCCTCTTACTTACAGTATCTTCCAGACTTTTTGTACCTGCTCTTCACTCTTCCACTTCTAGAACATTCTGCACTCATTCACCACTCTTCAGTGGTAGAATGAACTGCCCACAGAAATCAGTACTGCTGACTGATCACCATTCAGCATTCATTCAACGAGACTCATTGTTAGAGAGCCCTTGTGATCTGTCAGCTACACATCCTTAGTCATTTTTACCATATTGCACTAACAATATTAATATTTTAAACCAGAAACGGTTGCTAATTGCACTTACTATAAACAAGCTATGTGAATCTACATGATGTTTACACTACTGCACTGTATCCACACTGTCTGTATACTGTTTTAGTTTCTACTGTTTGTGTGCCATTTTATTAACTTAGTTGACCTTTTTCTGCAGTTATGTCTTGTCCTTAATTTTGATAGAAGTATTCTATATTGTTGAATTCCCTGGATAAGGATGCATTTTACACAAATTAATGTTTTTGTTAATATATCCATTCAAACTACATTGTTGAAATATATTTAAAAGTTATAGCTGCAAATAATTTTGTTATAGCTGCAGTGCACTAGATTTGTTTTTACTAAGAAAGGGTCACATATACTGTACATAAACTTCTTAGATAAAATGTAGTCTGTCAGATTTGCATGAAAAAATGTATTTCGTTGTTCCATGCGATACACAAGCTTTATCTAATAGACTAATAGTTTAACTATCTGCATTTTAACTGGGTAAATTATATACAGTACGTTTTAAGACTAGAATAAAAAAAGTAAATTGAAAAATTATACACATTTATTTAGTTCTCATAGCTTATTTTAACTACATTTTAAAGGTAAATTGAGTGAGGTAAATCCATTGTTTTTGCTGTCTCTGCAGGTGCAGTGTGCTGCTGTTTTGAAGGTGGGGTCCATACATGCCAGCAGTAATTCACACTGTGGTCAGTGTTTCTGCCTGGACTGGCTGCCAATGAAACCCCATAATATCTTGGCGGCTGGCTTCTATGATGGTATGTATTTCTCTTTAAAACACATTTTTGGTTAAGAATACTTCCTAAATTAAGTAACTGAACAAATACCTTACATTTAAGAAAGACATTTTCAATAAGCTTATCATTTACAAATTCAGAAGAGTGTTAAACACACACGTTTGTGGTTCTAGAAAGGGGTGTTCATGAGTAAAAATGAGCATTTTCGGTAAACAAAAGCTTCCCAGGGCTCTAAGATGTCTCATGTTACGGAAGACAAGAGATAAAATAGCTTTGGACAGCAGTAAGAGCTCAATGATTTGTTATTTTGTTTTGATCCCATGATGCATTGAGTTCAAGGAAAAATAACCCCAGATAAACTGTAGTGAAAGTCAGTGTAAGAGGGCTTAACAGCTTTGCACTCTTGTGTTAATAGTACAAGAGTTTCAGTTTAATTATAACCTACCCTCTCTTGCTCATGGTCATCATATTTTTAAACTTTCAGTGTTGTTAAAACATATTTATTCTTAATTTAAATATGTTAGAACTTTATTCATTACTTCTCATGCTTACCATGTTGCCTGATGCACAGGTATCTTTTATTATTGGTAGCAATACCATCACAATGAGTGAATTAGTAAGGCGGTGTTTTGACATATATTAAACTTAAAATGTACTACTTGATCTTCTGGAGCCATTTTTGAATCACTTGGTGAAAGTAGTACAGTTACCTGGAGGTACAACATAAAACCAATTAAGGGTCATTTAAAGTCCACATTGTTTAATTAAGTAATTGCTACAATTTCACCTACATTTTGTTTTAAATTTATACATTTCAAGCTCCCACCTATACCAATCAAATACGTATTCAGATCTCAGAAATCATGCACTCAGTTATGAAGTCCACAGAATAATTTATGTTATATTTATGTTCAAAATTCACTTATGGTCACAGTAGTGGCGTTCCAGTCTTTTCTTCTACACTTTAGTACAAGCTAGATTCTCCTAGAATTCTCCTATTACAATGTAAAGGTGTGTTTTTGTGATATCACATAATTTGTGATTTCTGTTGTTGTATTAGACCCTCATGCAAGAAAGGTTTCTGTCACTTTCAGGTTAGATTTATTGCAACTCTTTGGCTGTAAATGCAGTTCCATCGTGACAAATTTAAACATCAGAATGAATCTCTGTGCCTCATTAGAAACAGGAATTCACCATAAAGAAAATAATTTGTTCTTTTCAAAAAAGGGGCATTACATAAAACATGCCTTATTAAGAAAATGTTTTTGAAAACTTTTTTATTAGAATTAGCTGCTCAGTTTTAGGGCCATCTTATTTGACATATTATCAGTTGAAAATATTTTTGAAAAAAACTTCCATAGAATCAAATTTTACTTGGAACTTGAGAACTTAATTCAGACAGTATATATAATATAGCAAACATTTTGATCATATTTGTAAAGATTAAATTCAGAGATTATTTAAATATGGTTTGTACCATTAACAAAATAAATGTTTTCTTTAATAAGGCCTTTACTGCAGAAGAATACTTTTGTTAACCTCTCACACAAAGTTACCATATGCCTCCAACTGTTGGCTTTTGTGATTCTGTGTTGACCCCAGATTCTTGATTTGATCATTTTCTTTGCATTTTGTCTTCTTACGTTAAGGTTCTGTGGCCTTTTGGAATCTGGCTACTAAATCCCTGCTGCAGAGAGTGCGTGTGGGGAATGACCGTCTCACTCTGTATCCCTACCACTGTTTTATAGCACATGATCATGCTGTGCGTGCAGTCAACTGGTGTAAGGTCAGCAGGTAAGAAAATGTAGACGGTACAGTTGATACATACAGCTCAGTGCTCTTTGATTATTTCTAGTAAGTAGGTGTACTTTTTAGTACTTTTTATTGAGCAACCATAAATTAATTTCACCTGCTAATGGTTTTTATTTTTACAAATGGGTGCCGATATTTGTTTGAATTTCCTGAAATCACTACAAGTAGGTTACAGTATGGTATACAGTAATGCTTTTTGTTTAATTACATATGATCTGCCATGAGGCCACAAAATACACTCTTTGGCTTTAACTTTCCTTAAAACCCAGCTAGTGCCAAGAATGACCAAATGACAGCCACACTTACGCCACTCTTTGAAATGGCTGTCATTGGTGAACAGAGGATGCACATCCTGTGCTCAGTAATTTGTGCCCGAAGAATATGCAAAGTGACCACTTTAAAAATAAGACTGGGAAGTGGAGGAGCTGCAACTGGTTAATAATGCACACATTAATTAGTTTTAAAATGCTGGCAAGAATGGCTATACTCAGTATAGGGAATTTTTGGAAAAAAAATAAACGTCTTATTTCAACAACTTTCCACAACAAATAATTGTGCTTTGACATTCTTGAACAATCCTATTTCAATTTGAATATGATAAAGAAATGCATGTATGTATAAAACATAATTTTACAAAGTCTCTTTGTTTGAGTATAGGATTCCAGTCTATTAGTAATCGTCATGGGAAAAAAAAATATTTCACAGTTATTTGTACTCATGAATGTGCATTTTATTATGTTCCTTTTGAGTGGAATAGCACATTACCATTCCAATCATATTGTGCCTTACCTCCTTAATCCAATATTGCCCTCAACCATAAAAATCATTGACCTTCCACAAGATATCAGCATGCGTTCTGCATGTTTCCAGCTGATGACATTAGAAAAGCTCATTTAGAAAATGGCACCTAATGCCACAAGCAGTGGGACGTGAAACAGTGTTGTTTCTTTTCAAGTCTTCCAGTTCGAGTTTCTGCAAAGTACATGTCTAACAGAGAATGCAAAAACAATATTCAGCTTAAACATTTTGGGGAAATCAATGCAGAGGGGTGAAAAACAGCAGACGGCTGATCAACAAGCATAAAAACTAAATTAAGATTTTTTGGAGCTCGGATGATGTCATGTAAAACTCTTTGCTAGTGAGAACGTCGTCACCTTAACATTTTAGTAGATGCATTATTGAAATGTCAAAATATGACACTGTGTGGGATTTTTTTATGGCCATTCAGCCTGAAGGAAAACCAAGGACAGTTAATGAATCTGAAGGCCCACGTCCTTTGATAATAGCTTTCTCTGTTTTGGTTTAAGGGAGAAAATGATTTTTTTTTTCAAATAAAAAAATCGATGTTTTGCTCTATATCTTACATTTTTTGTTTTGTTTTTAAGATTTCTATCTTCTTGATTCTTTTTTTTTTTCAAAAGAAAGCAACATGGAAAGATACCTAGGCTATATTTGTCAGAATGCTGGTATATTATTATTCTATTGCTGCCAAGTGTAAATTGCACTTATGCGTCTAGTACTATTACACACACTCTTCCCAATATTAATGCTAATAACTCGAATAAGAATAATGTAATTCTGCAAAGTACTTTTTTAGAAACAGAACCAGACCTAGATCTATAGTAAAACATCTAAGTTCTATACAGTGACATAACTATAGTTATGTTTTTAATTCTTATGGCTTATGTTAGAAGTTTTTAGTTCAACTGTTTATTTAGATTCCAACAAAGATATTGTTTGTTTTTCGTAACCCACTACCTTCTCGTCTGAAGAAACACAGCGCATTCTTCTCAGTCTCTTCAAATGTGTCAGGTGTAAAGAGGTTGCACACAATTGGCTGAGCGCCTCCAAAGGCAGGTCTGGGATTAGTCCACCAGGGCTCTCGACTCCCAACAGCGCAGTGACCTCTGTGCACCTGCAGCCTCCTGGGCGCTGGCAGGCTTGGGATTCTGTGTGTGAGGACAGGCCTCTTGTACGTGGCTGCATGGCCTGTGACTTTTTAGCTCGAGGATGGGTGGCTCAGAGGATATCTACCTGTACACCTCTTCATTTTGCATTCGATTTACACTCGATTGGCTATTAAAAAAATGGATACATTTTCTGACAAATAATCACAAAAAAATATCTACAAAAACTTTCCAGGACTATGTGATAACCTTGCAATCTTATCATTTTTTATTAAAAATATACACTTTAAAGGTTTGTGCTTTTACCTACTTTGGTAGAACAAAAAAGTATTTCTAACTACATTACAATCAACACTATAAACTGCTATACTGACTACATAGCATTTAAAATATAGTAGAATTGGGGAAACGGAAACATTAAGGGTATTAAACCATAGTGTGATGCCAAACTGTAGAGCAACAAAAAACCTTGGCTTGGGTTTCAAAATTAAATTCTTCTGTAGTTGAAAAATGTTTTAAGCATGTACTGCACCTTAGATTAAAGCATAATTCCACACATTAGCAGTTTAATTATATGCAGTCAGCTCTTTTGGGTTTGGTTAATTGTTATTATATTTTTCATGAGATATTACTAGATTTCACTCTTTTACATATAGGTACAGTCCTAGTGGACAAAGATCAAGATTCAGATAGCATATAACTAGTGACAGTAAATTGGATTTTGTGGATGAAAGATGTGGTTTAACTTAGTTCTGAATTAACTGTAAAATTTTGTTCAATGCTCAGGTTTGCCAGGGTTTGCAATGAATACTTGTTTTAACGGATACTGTCTATTTAGATATTATTACTGCGGGAGAAAAAAACTATCCAGATCATTGGCAAGGCTAATGTAGATTTATTATCAGTCAATAAAATCTTTAATTTCAATAAATTTTAAATGTGAGACATTAACAGACTCAGAAAAGCCGTGTTACCCAGGCTCAGTACAAAAGATGAATCCTTGTTTCCTGGGTGATTTTAATGACCTAATTGGATTTCCGCAGAATTTACTTGGCCTCTTTCTATTTTCAACCCTTCAGTAATTTTATAGTCACAGCCAGCGAGGACAGGAAGGTGAAGTTCTGGGACCTCAGAAGGCCTTACGAGCCCCTTAATGTCTTCAAACGCTACCTCACAACAGAGATCTCATGGTTGCTGTACTGGTGTGGAGTCTGTGTTGCCCAGGAGAACTGCTACACAACGTGAGTCTCCTTTCTTCTTTCTTGACTAATGTCTTTTTACCCAGGGCAATTTGATTGGGATCCTGGCTGCCAGAATTGTACACAGTATTCTAAATGTGGCTTTCCTCGTGCATTGCACAATTGTAACATAACACCCGTTGACTTAAAAAAATCTACGTTTTTTCTACCTGGTCATTTTTTCCAACACTGATTCCAGAGTAGCATTATCTGTTTTGTAACATGCCAATAGAAGTCCATCCATACATGTTTTAACTGCTTTATCAAATACAGGGTCGCAGCGATGCCGGAGTCTATCCTGGCTAGAAAAGGGAGCAAAGCAGGATACACCCTGGACACGGCAATCCATTGCAGGGGACACACAGACACAAACACTCATACAAGGGTCAATTAATCTACCAAAATGCTTCTCAAGCTTCTCTCCCTGTTTGTGTGTCTCATGGAGAGCAAGTTGGGGTATGAGAAAAGAGAAATTCCTGATACAAGAAATTGTATATGGCCAATAAAGTGATCTTAAAATCTTAAAAATGTATCAGAGCACCAGGAGGAAACCCATGCCAACATGGAGAGAATATACGAGCTCTAAACTATGCTTCAAGGCCCCTGCGCTGTGTGGCAGTGATGCTAATCACTGTGCCACCCTGCTGATATTTGAGTAGAGCATTTGTGCAATCTCCATTTTAGGAAAGGAATACATTTCTTTCCAAATGACATGCAGTTAGTTGTTTCATTGTTCATCAAGTTAAGATGGTTAGTTCTGAAATGCCAAGAATAGTTGGGAGAACATTGTTAAAATAATATAACAATTTCTGCAGTCTGCAGCTAAAAAAGAATAATATTTTCAGTAGAAAGCACCATAAAATTTCTTATTCTGTATTCTTCCTGCATTTTCACATAGATCAGTAACACAATGATGTATGTGTATTTTAGTGTGCCTAAAATATTTTACCATTTTTAAAGTCTAAATACTTGGACCTAGCCTTGTACATGACTGAGATATTATAGCTACCCGGGTCTCTCGATGACAGATCTAAACATGATCCTTATGAGAGGAAATTTCAGTAAGAGAAAAGTAAAGGCACTCTTATAAAATAAAAGATCCTTCTTTGTAAACCGGTGCTAAACCAGTGGAACCAGTTCCCCTTACATATATCTAATGACCTAAAATATGATACAGAAATTATAATATAATCTGGCCTGGATGATACCACAGAAAAGGAAATAAATTACATGTATATGTAAGGTCCCCATTTTCTTAGTATAAAGTCAGCCGATCATATTTCTGTCCTTTTTGTCCTGTTTCTCTCCTCTGCGGACAAGGCCAAAAGTCTGTACGTTAAAGATGGCATCCAAGGAAAATGAAGTACTTCATCAGCAGGAGTAAAACAAAAAACAGTTGGCCATTTTTTTTTATATCAGTCTTTGTCCCGGACTGGCCAATCACCTCTTAGCTTCCAAAAGAGTTTGGACTGGTGACATCCTTGAACAGCCTGGAAACTTTGCATTGTCACATGAGTTACTGTTAATTGAGAAGCTGAAACTCAGCTTGTGGTCTTCTATACAATCAACTCAAAGTCACCTGTCTAAGCCTGACTAAAACTGACCTGTATTGACCTACATGGTAATCAGAATGTTCATTGGCTAGACAAAAATACATATAGTTATTATTAAGTCTTCTGTGACTGGTAGCTATACAGTATATATATTTTCAGGATATTTGTCTTTGTCTCCATGTAGAACATAATTCTAAAGGTACTTAGCAAGCCAATAGTCTGCTTAAGAAAAACTCCTTGGGTACAAAGTCAGTATATTCAAATCTCAATGCAAATTATTTCATTCACCAATGTGTAAACCTGTGGTTACAGAAAGAATTAGAATTGATCCGTTAAAAATGAAAACCCTAGATAAAGGTAATGTGCATTTGCTAGGCTAAGGACATTTATTTTCCTCACTAGGCAGTACCTAACTTTCTTTAATCTTTCCTTTTATTGCCACCAGTGCCTAATATATCTTAAGCACAGGAAAGTAGTTAAATAAAATGTTCTTTCACAGCAGTATTCGCAATCCTATGAGTGAACTAATTAATTAGTCTATTATGGATATCAGTGTAAACTTGAAAAAAACAACAACTGTAAAACTGTTTTCCCAATTTAAGTTTTGAAAGCACTAAATATGTTTATTAAATTGCTTAGCCGAATTTCTATTTATAGAGTGTGTTTTTTGTTAACCTTGCAGTTATGGGATGAATGGTGTCCATTACATTGATGCTGGATACACGGGATCAAAGCCATATTTTGTCGCTCCACGACGGGGAACAGTATGGGTAAGTGTGTGTTGAACTGTCACAGTGCTGACAGTAAGAAAAAATATATTTTATATAGTCAGCTACGTATGACATGGCTGGTAAGATAAAGCCAATGGTATTATCAAGTAGCCACATGTGGCTTAGCTGGTGATCGAGACACTGAGTTAATGTTTTTTCATAGTGGTAATAATTTTACTGTATTGAATTTATTTTTTTTAAGTCAGAGCCTAGCTCTTGCTCTGATACATTTCAAAGTCAACAAAATAAACATCAGTGATGTACATTTTACCAAGTAAAAAATAGTTACATTACCTAATAAGTAACCAAACCTCTGTGTTTCCAACACTGCTTATAATTATATAACTTTTATAATGAACACATTCTCTTCTACTGATTTAAACATTCTTACCATCATTCTCATATGTCAAATGTATCTTATTGTGTAAGTGATCTGAGCACCCTGAATTAGTCAAAAGTGGTTTCTTAACCCTGCACCAAAATTGAGTTTTAGTATTGTTTTTATTTTAAGAGGACTATAATATGAATCTTCAAACTAATTAAAACCCCTAAAGTGTCTGTAATATAATATTTCTCTTGTATTATCCTCTATTTTAAAAATGTCAGCTCCAGGTAAGAAATTATGTACAGACTTTGCCAGTTGCTTATTCTTTTGCATATACTGTAATGTTACTGTATATGAAGGGTTATATTAAGTTTGCACTAATGCAGATCCCACAACATTTAGCTTTCAACTGCACTTTCTAGGAGTGTATAGAGATCCTGTTTCACTACACAAAACCGCTACTGTTACCTTTGGATGCGACAGAATTACTTCATGTTACATTTTACGTGTTGTTGTTTTTTTTTAACTTCATTCTGAAACAGTTTTTTTTTAAACTGCATTTTGTGTTTATTTGTGTTATCTTTGTCTAATATTTCAATTTGTTTGATCTGAAACATTTCAGTGTGACAAACATGCAAAAAAATAAGAAATCAGGAAGGGGGCAAACACTTTTTCACACCACTGTATGTAAGTGCATTTGGTTTTGAGAATAGCACTTATGCTAAGGTTTAGGTGGGCTAAATGGTCTTGGAAACAAAATTCTTCTTGTGTCAGGTAATAGTATTTTTTTAGTTGTGACATTATACAGTATACTAAGCAGTTCAAATAAAACACTGTCTCAATGTGTTGTAATATTCAAGCATGAATTTCCATATACAGCTAAATAACAAAAGTGGCTGGTGAAATATACAGGTACACCTTATGGAAACATTTAGTGAATAAGCTGCTTTTATTGTTTCCTTCAAAGTGTCCTCATTATACACCTGATACTAAGGTAATTATGTTACTTAAATGATGTATTCTCTTTTATTTGTCAGAGCATATCTGGTTCTGATTGGCTCAATACCTGTGTGACAACAGACAGTACCGGAGAGCTGTTGATGATGTTGCTTGCAGACATGTCTCAAAACCCCTATATTAAGCGCCCTATGGATCGCAGATTTGTATGTGCATTCTTCATTTTTTCCTACTTTGTGTTTTAAATATAAAGTAACATGCTATACATTTGTAATTTTCTTATTTGTAGTAAAATTCAGTGCAGAAAACAATTTAGACTTTTTGATTTAACAGTATTAAATTAACTGTTTTCCCCATTCTTTTGCTTCACTATAAGCCTATCTATAGGGTGGAACTTGTTCCATATGGTACTGATTCAAAGGTACAAGAAGAAGACAACAAGAATCCTGTGAATACAGGACAGGTCTGCGAGCCTCAGACATATGGAGAAGCCATTAAGAAGTACTACTTGTTGTTCCGTGATACCGATATGGTGAGTGAATGATATGTGATTTTGTTTCCAACTTCAAAGAAAATATTGATTTAATTTGCAAAGCATACTATATACTGAAGTTAGTCCGTCTGTCTTTTCTAACCACCTTATTCAATATAGGATCCTAGGGAAGCCGGAGCCTATCCCGGCAAGCAACAGGTGCAAGGCAGGATACCCCCTGGACAGGACGTCAGTCTGTCACAGACACCCATAGACACAAACACTCACACATTCAGAAGCCAATTAACCTACTGTGTTCAGACTTTGGAAGTTTAACTAGAGTACCAAGAGGAAATTTGCATTGCACAGGGAGAACATACAGAACCCAAACAGATAGCACCCCAGGAACTGAACCCATGCCACTCTAGCATTGTGTCTTTATTTGTTATTTTTCTCTGGCACAGCTGAGGGCAACAGCCTCATGCTGGGCCAGCAGTGTAAACCAGACCTTACAGTATATCTGCCCACTGAATTTCAATTGTAAAACAGGGTGAAATGAACAGAAATAAACCAAGAAGAGGATCACTGATTTTGAGTCCCTCTGCTGATAGATAACCTGGAAGTTAGGAAATGTTTTTCGACAGTTCTTTGAGCAGATAGAAAATAAGAGAAAATGTTGGTAAAAAAAACAATTTGATCATTAATTTTATAACAGAAAATAAAAGTCCCTATTAAGCAATGTTTGCAAATCCTTGAAACAATCACAAACCAGTGTAGCAGACATTTAGCATACTAAAATAGCACGTAAGCAAGAAAACGCATTTAGCCTGTCAGTGTGCTTTATGAGATGTTTAAGGCCCCTAGTGGCAAGTTAGCATTAGTTTATTTTGAGCTGAAACAAAGCCAAAGCACTGGATTCTTGGTAGCAATGATTGCGCACATGTACAGCTGCAGACACCTCTACAGAAATTAAAAGGGAACCTTTTCTATAATTGTGCAAATTGTCTTTACTACCAAAAACATACTGGCTTCACTCCTGACTCTCTCCTTTCCTTTCGAGTTTTGAAGTACACTCTGTTCACTATCATGGGTGCTCTTAATGAGAAAGATATAGTCAACATTGTCTGGAATCTTGCATCTCCACCTGTGCTTCAGTTCTGACAATTGTGTGTGGTTTGCTACTTCTGCATTTGTCTGCATGTGAAACCTGACTTCTAAATGGTATTTTCTCACACACTACTAAGTGCTAATATTCCCATTTAATTTTTGCTGTGAATATATACTACAGGGTCTGTAAAATATCTATTTTTAACATCACCAAACCAACTGTATAAATATATATTAAGATACATTTTCTACTTTTATAATTTATTTAAGCAATAAGGCACGAGAGGCCATGCTATATCGTGGATATACACCCCACCTCGGGCCTAACTACGCCTTTTAACTGTTACTGTATCCACGATATAGCACAGGCTTCAAGTGCCTTATTGCTTTTATAAAACGTTGCCCAAATATGTGATTGCCGTATAGAATGAATTTTAATTTAAAAATTTAACACAAAAATTAAGCTGTTTACATTCTTCTGCCTTAGAATATAGTCTCTCGTTGCTACTCAGTGCAGAAACACAGCCATAAGTAACATTAACTAGCAAAGAGAGGACATTAGCCAGCCAATATGGGAGCACAAAAAATCACAAGGATCCTCAAGAGCGCAACAAAGACAGCAGAAGAAGATACATGTACCAAATACCTGAGAATCCAAGCTTTTTTATCTACGCTTTCTTATCTACGCTAAGAAGTAGTCTTTAAAAGCTTATGCGATTGATTTGATTGACTGTTATTTATCAGTTAGCCCATTGATATTTCTTTATCACACAGTAAATAGTCAAAATTCCTTTCGGGGTGTGTGTATATCAGAGAATATAGCACTGCTTCAAAAGCGGGTCAGCCAATCAGATTTCAGGACCGGAACTATCTGTTTAATAAATTAAATCAAGAAACCTGTTGTTATAAACTTATATGAAGAACACTGCAATGTTCTGCTTTCCTCACACCTCCTTTTAACATGCTAACTGAGTTGACTGGTATCTCTATATCGTCCCTGTGTGAGAACTCTGCAATAGACAGGTACTCCTAAGAGATGTGGCCCTCCCTTACACCTTATGCTTTAGCAGTAAGCTGTGGGTTGCTTCATCCTTTCCTAGGAAGAAGCTACATTTTAATAATGGATGGGATGGTTACTGTAAAACTCTTTAAAACCTCATCTAGAAACACATGACTAGTTTAAATATTCACTGATGTCATTAGAGAAGACCTGCATCTAACAGTCAGCTCTCTTTTGGGCTCTTTATGACCTGTTGGAACCTGAAGGTCCTGCCAGTAGAAAATGTTTGTAGGAACTGTGAATCTCGCGGCTACGCATAGGGTCTATTTCCGCCATTCCACGGTTCGTCCTTTCATACACCCGTGACAAGGTCAGATTGGCCAGAGTTCCTCTTCTAAGAGCAAGATGTGAATAATAGCCTACAATTTATGAGCAGTTCTTACATTTTATGTACATACCAACAAATATTCAGGCCATAAAGTGTTAAAACACTGAGGTCTCTTAGCCTACATGCTGGTTTAGTATTTGCTTTTAACAGTAAAATAGCACATATAAAAAATGCTGGATGCTCTTGATTTACTATTTACCATTGGTAATGATAAGATGTTGAGGACAGTGGGAAAAAAATAATGCTTAGGAGCACAACTTAAATTCTGATTGTGCGTCAGTATTGGGAAATTTCTCAAAAAGGAAACAGAAAATTTGACATTTCTTTTGGTAATTTTTTTTTAATACTGTTTCCAATTAATTGTAGCAGTGACAAATGCAGCTAAGGTTTTCATTGAAGCTTTAGGTTAATATGTTATTAGTTGTGAATGCTGTAAGACTAGTTATTAACCTTTACATGTTTTTCAAGAATTAAGTAACTAAGAATTGTCAATTTTCTGTTTAGTTTTTGCAAGTCAGATTTTTGTTACTGGATACATAAATATGACTTATTTTTCCGTTTCAATTTATATTTGCATGTAACAATATCCATTCCATTTTTTTGGAGTTTTGCAATAAATACAAAATGAGGCTTGTGATTATCGCAAAACCTTTGCTTGACATTTTTTACCAATTGATTCTAAAATCATTAAATACACTTTGCAGTATAAATAGAAGATGATGACTAAGCATCAGAGCTACAACATGAAATTGCAAAAAATTAAAGATAGATATTAAATTCGGATTCCAAGTCAATTAAAATACAAAACTGGTTTTAAGGAAGACTAAAGCTAGCTATACTTCTCTGTGCTAGGTGCTACAATGTATCTTATTTCAGGGGACCTCTTTTAATCGTTGTGATTTGACATGGCATGTGGGCCTTAATACTCTGTACAGGGACTCAGCCTGTCTGATGCATTTCTCTTAAATTTCTCCAGCTCCTACTCCCCGGCCATCGTTATAGGCCATTACACACAGTAAGGGAGTGGATGAAAGGAACTGAATTTATTAGATTAGTTATCTCCTAGATACACCTGAATGAACCGCCTGGATGTGCCTAAAGAAAGACTGGAATTTACCAAGAAATAAAGAAGGGGGTTGATGTGGAGAACTTGCCAAGTTAGCAAAGAAGCCGTTAATGGCTAGCCATTTTCAAGCTTATGTGTTGATTAAGTGCCATATCCTTCATTAATTTAAAAATTAATCTCCCTCCTGCCCTGGGTCCACCATCTGTTCTCCTGCATTCCGCTCCACCGACTCCCCCATTGACTGCAGCAGACTGGAATGCGGCACCGTCTGCTTTTCACAAATGGTCACAGCCCAGGGAGCACATCTTTCACCCTCTCCCACCTCCCACCTACCCCTCGCACCACCCAGCCTCTGCTGTCTAAACCTTGAGCTGGAACCTTGTGTATCTTGGCGGAACTGTGACTGGACAAGAGTTAAAGGGGTTCCTCTAACTGATTGCTCAGCTCTTTCGCATTTTTTCACAGAGAGCACATTCTTCCTCCCTTGTGTGGATGCGGTTTATTCTGTATTCACACAGGAGAACAGTGTTACTGCTATAGCTCTTGTTAATGTGTCAATGTCACACTGTGGATTCACAATGGCTTGAAGTGCCATTGTTGTCTGATGTAGCACACCGGGATATATGGTTTAAAAATCAGTTGTGCATTGCTCCTTTAAGTATCAGTGCCGAGTTATTTGTTTGGATGTAAGAAAATTTACAAGAAAAAAATCAGAAAACATTTTCAATTCCGTCCATCCATTTTTCTAACTGCTTTATCCAGTACGGTGTTGCAGGGTAGCGACATCCTATCCCATCAAGTAATGGGGCACTTTACTAAAACATTGCAGGGCTGAAACAGACAAAGCCATGCACTCACTCCCACCAGGACCAATTTTTCCAGAACCCAGTTAACCTACTTTTATGTTTCTGGACTGTGTGGAGGAAACCAGAGCAACCAGCAAAAACCCACACAAAGCTGGGGAGAACATACAGACTCCACAAAGATAGCACCCCAGATCCAGAATTGAAGCCCTATCAGGGCCCCAGCACTGTGAAGCAGAAACTACCAGCAACCACTGTGTCACTGCCATCTCATTTTAAATTCAGAAATATAAGATGATTTTTTTACATTTAGTTGAGTTTTACAGTTTTGACAACTGATTTGTTTTTCAATGTTGCGGTTGGCGGAATCTATTTCATTTTATGTCATTTTAACACAGATTTCATAACTGAAAAAAAATTAAATGCTGTGTATTACCAAGGACTGCTGACATTTGATATTAACAATTTCTTTAGATTCATTTTCTTGTTTAATGTCAATTAAAGTCTTTGAATCTACATGACTGTTTTTGTGGAGCAAAGATGATTTTAAATGCACGAGAAACACATTATCATTTTTACAAGTAATAGGTTTATTCCATGCTGAAAAAAAGAAGAGAGAAAACACAACGTTTCGGCCGTGGAGCCTTCTTCAGGTGTGAGCATCATTTTTAGCCTGGATCTTCATTTTTAAAAGTTTGATACCATAATGTCAAGAAAAGCCAAAACAATACACAAACTGCATTTGAGAGTCCATTATCCTATATGAGTATATAAGTTTCTGAAGCCTTCTGGAAGTTGAATGGCATTTAATTAATGGTTTGATAAAACAGCTTAAATCTTTACTTTCAGAGGACGTTTAAGAATGCCTCCAGCCGAGAACCTATGAAGCACATGCAAGCCACAGAAACAAAAGGTGCTTTGGCTCTGGACAGAATGCCTCTGGATGCCTTGTACAAGGTAAGTTCAGGCTATACAGCTCCAGCTCTTCAAAAATCTTATTAGCACAATTCAAATGGATGAAGTACATGCAGTAATAAAAGCTCACTAGTTTCACTGGCCAACAGTTTTTCTTTTCTGCAAACATCTTTTTTGAAGAACTCCAAGCCACCAATAGCATTATTTTATTTACCGGTTGAAGATAGTCAGGGGACATCAACCGTTCTTCCAGAATTTTTTTATGTTATTGTAATTTAATGTGCAGCTGGGATGTCTAAAATGTTCCATTTTGTGTGAGCTAACATTTACATGGTTCATCACCACAGGAGCCAGAAGCAGCAAAAAAATGGAAAAAAAAAGGAATAAAATGTAATCTAGACCACTTCCAAGCAAAAGACATCTGGGGTTCTTTGCACGTTACAAGAAACATGCAAATTGTATTGACTCTTGTGTTTTGCCAATATTGTGGACAGAGAAGATAAGCATTTTCTCATTGTAAACCTTCTCCAAATTAAAAAAAAAGTGATAAAGCAGGCATTAATATCAAAGAGGTAGCGAGTGGGTACTCTGCGGTAATGTGGTGTTGCTGTTTGCATTACCCAAGTTGTAATAGAGAAAACGCTATGTCTCATTTGTGAGGGGAGATAAAGACGGACAGAAGCTAATGATCTGTAAAATGAAGAAAACGTCTCTTTGGGTTCTAGTGATAAAACGCTGTGAAATTGAAAGAAAGTGATAGCTCACTGGAGGTGGAGCTCTAGGGACCGTGATGTTAGGGACAGATACACAATTCATCCAGCCAAAGGTGCTTTGCTTCAAATCAGAGATACAATTATTGTTTCTTTTTATGTAAGTGGTGATCCTGCTTCATTCTGCTTCAAATTAAAAGTCTTTAGCTTTTAATTTTTTCACCCAAATAAAAAAAAAGATGTGAACTTGATCTGGGTTAAATTGCACTCTACAAACTGGATTTAGAGCAGGTTTTTTTCTTGTTTCTTATTCAGATAGAAATTTTGTTCTCTGTGCACTGTATGTAGTGTTGCTGCATTTACAGCAAACTTAATTTGATTAAATATGAAATGGTATCATGTTATAAAAGTATGTGATGTTAAAATTTGAATTAAATTAACAAATTACATTTAAAAATTAAATAAACATGTGAAATACATTCCACATTTATATATACAGCAAGTAAAATATCAAAAGGTTAATAACTGTTAAGAAGTGGTTTGTAAAAAAACTGCCATCGTGTCAGTTTGAGATATACAATTGATTTCCGTTAATTCATTTTATTTTTCCATTTTTATTTAATCAGTGCATTTCGAATCAGCCTCTTTTAATGAGTATGATTTTTGCATTATTTTCATTCCCAGATAACCTTTATGCTAACATCATTTTTTCTATATGGGTAATAAAAAAAACATTTTTCAGCTTGTGGTGTAGCTTTTAAGGGCTAATTTGTTGTTTCTGGGTCTGCTACAGCAAACATTTCTATTTTTTCTTAATTTAATTTCTAAGTTAAGAAGTATAACTTTATGATGATATTGATGTTATCAAAAATTGATGTTTTTGATTGATGTTTGAAATATTGATGTTTTCCTCATAAGGCACAGAACTACAAGGAACAGGTAAGTGGGATTAAAACTGAAAGTGTGAATTGTTTATTCTTGATGTGAAAAAGCTGCAGTTTAACCGAATACATTTGTTTTCAAGTACCATTGTATGTGGACAGGTGCTGTACATTTATTCAAACATGACTTTGTACTTTAGCAGAAAAGTATTTGTCACTTGTGATGTATCTTTTGCCACTGGAATCAAAAATCAGTTAAATTACCTAATTGTTTTGTCATCGTGCCAGCAGCCATATCACCCTTCAACTGAAAATTGTCAACCCACTGAAGCTAAGCAGGTGTGAGCCTGGTCAGTACCCGGATAGAGACCAACTGGGAAAAATTAAGGTTGCTGCTGTAAGAGGTGTTAGTGGGACCAGCATGGGGCACTCACCCTGCTGTCCGTGTGGGTCTTAATGCCCCAATATAGTGACTGAGACACTATAGTGTAAACAGGCGCCATCCTTCGGATGAGATGTAAAAACCAAGGTCCAGACTCTGTGGTCATTAAAAATCCCAGGGAGTTTCTCGAAAAGAGTAGGGGTGTAACCCTGGCGTCCTGGCCGTCCTTGGCCCTTACCAATCATGGCCTCCTAATAATCCCCATCTATGAATTTACTTCATCACTCTTTTCTCCTCCTCACTGATAGCTGATGTGTGTTGGGTGTTCTGGCGCACTTTGGCTGCCATCGCATCATCCAGGTGGATGCTGCACATTGGGGGTGGTGAGTGGAGTGTCCAGAAAAGCACTATATAAGTCTAAGCAATTATTAATTATTATTATTATCATCTACACCAACAGGCCCGCTTCAACCCCAACCTTGGAGCGCATGGCTGGGTCTTGTCTGCAGGGCAGTCTGGCATCGTCCGTGCACACTGTCTGAGAGGAATGAACAGCCCTGTTATCACAAAGCTTGTCCGTGAGAGCCAAGCACAGTTCAATGCCATGTACCAGCCTCAGGGAGACACAGCCAACGAGTTCATCGTCACTGCTGTCCAACACAGAGTGGAAGCCATTGTAGAGGTGCAGTGACAGCCTGAGGGGAGCAATCCACTGCTGTTTGCAGAACTTGGGGAAACAACACAGAGCACTTGAAGGAAAAAAGTACTTCATGGATTATCTGTTCTCTTTTTAATAACTGCCTTCTTTCTTGAGATCGTACATCTTGTCAAGTGTGGTTTACAGTATTGGTGATGGTCTCATGCACTTGTCTTATGTTTTAATAGTTTTGTTTTTATAATTAACTTATTTCAACTACAGCTAAAATTATTTTCATAAAAAACAGAAATGTTAGTCTTCTTATTTTTTATACGCATTTTAGTGTAAATGAACGGAGACCATTTTAAAGCTAAGCTTTTTGTTAAAAAGCAAGAACTTTTTTCTTGTTAAACAGAAACAAAAAGGAAAACTTTAACACTGTAGATATTTCATATCTGGGCTATGTCCCATGACAGTTTTGATTGTTCTGGCATGTGGCATATATGTAGTGTAATTCTTTAGTTTAAAGCAGCATTTTTTGCATATTCATCATTGTGATTTTAATCTTAAAAATCCCTTTATATCTTTTCTGTACCCACTTAAATTCCTTCCTGTTGTTTAGCAGCACAAACCAGAAAACCCAGAACACTTGACCCCATATGTTCTTGACAGATTCATGTAAAAGAGAGATCAAATTTAAAAGGAGCAAAAACCTCAGTCATAGAAGTTTCTGTGTAGAAATGCAGTAGCTTGCAAAGAGAAGTATTTTATGTTGAAAAGCTAGAAATAACAGAAAGAGATGATGAATCTGAAATATGTAAAATTTGGGAAGCAAAGCAGAAATTTTAGTATGAAGAATTAAAATGATTTATTTCCATGAAAACTCCCACTTATTTTGCAATAGATTTTTTGCACTTATCAATACATTTTCTGTATGTAATCAGAGCACAGAGCTACTGTATGCACAATATATTCAATGTGTTATTGCTGACAAGTGTTTTTATTTCTTTAGAAAACAAAGATTAAGTTCCAAATCAACAGCCCAAAAATAATCTTAATAAAAAGTTTTAATTAGAAATCACTTTTTAGAGAAAGCAGAAATTCTGTGATTAAAATTCATACAATTACACTTTACGATTAAAACAAATTAATTAATGCTTAACTTGTTTTAGTCTTTTCCTTGAATGTGCAGGGTTTACGATTTACCTGTTTTCTTTGTTATTGAAATTGTATCCATAAAAATGGTACCTCATGCCATTAAGCTAAATTGGAAGTGTAAAATGACTCTGTCCCATGATTTGGTTATATGTTTGTAATAGAAATCCAAGAAGTTACACAGAGCCCAAAGCTGTTCTGGTTTAAGTAGGTACTGTACAAAGTATGAAACTTTGTGTTTTCTGTCTTCTCCATCACATCAATTGATATATTTTATTATTACAGTACCACTCATCTGCCCTCTCTAGTCTGTTAGATTGTTCTACCCTTTTTTTTCCAGTGTCTTGTTCTTGACTACGGCATTGGCATTATTACTGCTGAGTCATCTCATCATTCACATGACAGTGGTTCTAGTTTATTTTGAGGCACTTAAGTAAACTACTGCTTAGAAGGACTGATTATGCAGTTTTGTGTGTGATTTGTGTTTCTAACTGGAGAATTTCTAAGCCACTCTTAAAAAGATGTTTATTTTTTATGCAGCCAGAAAACAGGTTAGACCTTTAAGACGATGCTTGATTATTTTATTCTTGCTCTGATGTACATCATAGCTCAGGTCCTCTGAGCAGTAACATTTCAGCTGGCATATTGCTGACTTATTACTGGTTTTGTGGTCGTATACAATAGATCTACATTTTTGTCATTGTAACATGCACAACCTGTTTCTTCAACATAATCAATTTAAGGAATGTTCTTTTAGTTCTTCCCCAGATAATTGTTATTCTAGTTATGTTGGAGTCTTCATACAAAAATATATTTCTAATAATAAACTGTCCCTAAATGGGTACAATCTGTTTTGTGTGGATGGATCTTATAATGGAGGTTGGGGTTTACAATTTACAGTGTTCTTGTTCATCTAAATGTCCAAAAAATAGATTTACTTGTTATCAACATCTATCTCTTGAAAAATAAGACACTGTTGGACAACCTGTGCTTCTGCTGCTACCTTAACTTTGTTTAAGGAACTTATTGTTTTTAACCGGGATTTTATTTGATTGGGAGATTTAAAATGGGGTGTGTTAATACTGACTCATTTAAGAATTGGCTGAATTTTTTAAACTTCTGTCACACCAAACCTTCTGGGAGAAACTCAAGTCCCCAGTGACTTGAGTGCTTCACATCATGCTCACAGGGTTTGTCAAGTATGTGTCATCTGGATTTTGTAAAGATTTTACTGATCATTGTATCATAGTGTGTGTTATAATCACCTTGAAAGAGAATCTCTTCTTTTGATTTTAGCTAGAAGCAATTTTATAAAGCTCCTCTCCGTCGTTTGCGTTTAATAAACTGGAGCATGTTTTCTTTCATCCCATCAGTTGAAGATGTTTGAGTCATTTTTAAAGATGGTTTTAGCAATATTAGTCTCAACATGCTTATACCATTTGAGTTTCAAAGTTAAGAATCACAGTCCTTTCGCCTGAAATTTTCATTTTGCTTTATAGGGACATACATGTTAACCATTATATTAATTATATAATTATTTCTAGTGCTTAGTACATTCCAAGCTAAAATCCATGCTAAAACAAATGTCATGACCTGTAATGCACACATTGTCATTTGTGCACTGCATCCCTATAAAGCATATATGAATGTAATTATGAGATCTTGTGCAGCAGTTATGAAGGGATTATGAAGCCATTATGCAGCAACATTCAAATAAAGTGTTATAAAAAAAACATTGAATTTTTCATTACTGCTGGTATCGTGTTATTATGTTGGCTAGTCAGAATGGTGTTAAACCAATTTTTATAACACCTGCTGCTCATGGCAAAGTCTGATGACCCACTTGTTCAGTCTCTGTTTAGAACTGAAATCCTAGCAGACTTTTTCAATGGGAGTAGTATATCAGAACTCAATCGCTAATATAAAGTTTACCTCGCTTTTCTAAGAATACTGAAGAGTACTCTTTTCAGGCAACAGTTACATTATATCTGATGAACAATCTTGTTTTTGTCCCAAACATGAATGTGCCACAGCATCTTTAAAGGTGTTCAGTGACATATTAAAGGCTCATGACAAAAACCACACACCAATGCAGCTATCATTATAGATTTACCTAAAGCTTTTGACGCTGTGGTTCACTCAATTCATCTGAAAAAAGCTGTGTGGTTTATTAGATGGAAACTCCCTCAGATGGTTTCAGATTTACAGTACAGTATGTACATCACTTTATAGATTGTATCTGTATATAAAGGAATTCCACAAGGTTCTATTCTGATATCTGCACTGTTCTCCACTTATCTAAGCAGTACTGTTCAGGCAATACACAAATGTAATGTCCATCTCTATACCAACAATACCATTATAATCTGAACTGGAACTACTTAATTGGTGACAACCCCATTTGCAGCTTAGTTTTGACCAAATTCCTCGAGCAGTCTAACCTGTCTCGTTTCCTAAGTCCTGTTAAAAACAAAATGGTTTATAATTAAAATAGCTCAAACTGTTACATTAGTCATAATCACAATGTTTGTACATTAAGTTAGAATGAGCAATTCACTATTTATACAAATCTAGGCATCAGTTTGCATTGTTCTTTAACTTTCAAAGTCACATTAACAAATTACATGTTTAAGTCAAGCCTAGGCTTGGATTTGTTTATCAAAAAAATGTTGTTTAGACTGCTCTTGCTATCTAAGAATACCAAGAGCAGTAGTTCAAATACTACCCATTTTGGAGTATGCTAATGAGTACAAAATATCCTCTAAAGATGCACTTGGGAAACATGATGTCTTCTGTCATTCTACCATAAGACTCAGTGCCCCCCCCCCTACTCATCATTGCAACTTTCATTCTTAGTGAGCCTCTCTGCATTCTCGACGAATAAGATAGTAGCCATATACTGTACATTTTCTTGCATTCAGAATTTCTTTTTGCATACCCAGTTTGCTCTCCATACGGTGGTATGGACATATCATGAGGAGGGACGTTGGGGAAGTAACAAAGAGGGTAATGGAATTTGAGGTGGAAGGTAACAGAGGAAGAGGCAGGCCTAGAAAGAGATGGATAGATTGTGTGAGAAAAGATATGGAGGTATGTGAAGTGAGTGAGGAAGATGTGCTCGACAGAAACAAGTGGAGAAGAGCAACCAAAGCAGCTGAACCCAGGACAGTCTGGGACTAAGGCTGTGAAAAAGAAGAAGAAGAAGATACCCAGTTTGCCCTCCATGAGACACGCAGGCATGGAGAGAGAAGCTTGGGGTTAGAGCACAAGGTCAGCCATTTATACAGCACCACTGGAGCAGCTGGGGTTTTGCTCAGGGGCTGAACAGAGTAGGATTCCTCTGCCAGCTGTGGGATTTGAGCTGGCAACCTTCCAGCCACAGGCACAGATCCTTAGCCACAGAGCCAGAAATGCTTCTCTGGTTTAATTTAGGGATTTTTAATTGGGAATACCCCTACTATGCTCATAATTTATTTATGTTCTTTCTGCCTTATTACTTCTTAAGTTGTACAACATTTAGCAACATGAACCTCCATTTTACCAAATCAAAGATCAGTGACTGAGTTCAGACACAAGTCATTTCAATTTGCCTCTGCCAATGAAAGTAATTATCTGCAGTCCAACTTTGTGTTTGAATGTGTTATCACTTCATAAATTGACATTTTGTTTTTCTATCACTGTGCTGTGCAGCAACAGTGCAAACGTCTTGCTCTTGTTGACTGTTGTGTGGAGGGTATTTGTACACTCAGACAAACACGAAAGCACAAAGAAGTGGTGTGATATGTTCAGTGTTGGTAAGCATACCTTAATGTAATGTACATGACAGCCTGCTGCCTGCTATTATTAAATAAATAAATTGAATTTTAGAAATCTGGGCTGTGTGCAGGTATGGGCATTAATGCAGAACATTTGCCAATAGCTGTGTAGCGGCGAGGCTTATTAATAAGGCAGAATTAAGTGTTTCTGAGCTTTCCCAAATTAGGCCTCATCTGTTCATCTATGTGGTGCAGCCACAGAGAAACTGTTCATGCAGGCTGATTTAAGGTTTCCTTTGATAAGGTTTCCTAGGACAGCTCCCAAAGGGGGATGCACTTAGCTAAGCCTGGCTATCATGATCAATGGTCATCCATTGGCGCCTATCTGTCTAGGGAGTGCCAGATGGACAT